AGAGAGATAAAGATGCAGGTCATAACACAAACGTGTAAAATAAAGCAACCGCAACATTTACTTCGAAAAGACCCAGAAAAAAATCCAAATTCACTTGCGTCAGATCATGTAAAATTTCAATCACGCTTTAAAGCGTCACCGGTCCCGAAAGGGTTAATAACGTTTACAACAAGAAATATTGTGCCAACAGAAAAGAGTATCTCATCTTCATCTTTAATTTTAGAAAACTCTCGTATAGAAGCAAATGGTCTTTTTAATGAATGACTAAAGTCATCAATTTCAATTTGAAATAAGACAGATATTCTATCTGGTGGTTTATTTTGCTCGCTAAAGCCAGCAAATATTCGTGCAACCGGATAATATTCTGTTGTGGAAAAAAATGAATTTAATCGATATCAAACGTCCGATATTTTCTTTGATAATGCTACATTTATCCATAGTCATAAACTGACCACGAAATACTTCTAAACTATGATTAATATTGTTGGTACCATTTAAAAATTGTTTAGCATATAAATCACATAAGTTATTATACAGATCGGCTAAGAAAAAAACGAAATACTAAGAGTAAATCAATATTTTCGGTGCGGAATGCTTCGTTAAATAAACGAAATAAAAATGAAGCAGCTGTATAGTAACGAAGAACTTCATTCGACTTGTAATTTTGACGAAGTTTTTCAATAGCTTTTTTTACTTGATTGATTATTATGTGGTATTTGTACAAGAATATCAACTAACAATGGTAACCATAAAAATCGAGCATTATCTTCATGCAAATTTCGAACGGTTCTTTCTTTTTTATCTTTATTAAAAATACTAGCTGACATTTTTAAAGTACGAGAATAATCTCTTAATAATTGATCACATAAATCATCGATATTAAAATAAATACCATGAATTTTGTTAGATAATTCCTTTCGTGGTGAACTTATACTTTGTTCCATGTGAAGTATGTATATAAAATGAATGTTTATTAAATTAATTATTGTTTGTATCGGTAAATCATTATTGAGTTTGGATAAAATAAGGAATAATTGAACATCATCCGCTAATGATCGAATATAATTGATACATTCTTCAATATTGGTATATATTTTAAAAGATTTAATTCTGTCTTTTACAGACAACATATTAACCATATTTTTATAATCATCATCTTGTATCCAGACAACTTGTAAATCAGACTCTTCTTCGTTTTGTATCTGGATTACCGAGGGATCTTTCTCGTTTAATGTATCGTTGGTGAATAGTTGTGTTTCTCGTATGATAGGATTGCTAACATTCACTGGTAACAAATCTCGTTTGAATATCTCAATATCTGCAAGAAGTTGTTCATCAGCATTTGGCAAATCTTCTTGTACAATAGCACGTCATATTGGATAATCACTGATTTTATAATTAACTTTATCAGATGCTGCTGAATAAATATAAATATAAACAATTTGCTCTAGATCATGAATTAATGATAAAATAAAGCTAAACTCATCGGTGAGTGTGAGAAAAATTATTCGCCATGCATAAGATGAAATAAAATCGATACATTGGTCAGGATCATGAAATATTCTCTTTGTTGCATCGATATATATACGCTACCATTGTTAGATGCTGATGCACTATATAGACTAAAAGCTTCTTTGGCATAAAACCGTTCATCTAATTGTATTTCTAAGAATGCTCCTCCATACGGTCTATCTTTCAATGTATCATTTGGCAAAATTATCAGTCCATTCGATCGATACCGCTCCATATTGATAAAATCAAATTATTTTAACAATGTCACTAAACTGTAACTTGCTTTTTTTTCTTTCAAAAAAGACTTTTCGTTACTCCTACCTTCAGTAAGAACAAACCAAAAAAAATATTTTTCTCTTAAATTTGCATTCATTACTTTTTTTTTTTATCTCAACAACTTCATTGTGTCAATGAAAAAATCAAGAATCAAAACATTCAGGCTTGATTTACGTGCAACCTGTCAATGCATTACTAGCTAAAAAAGAAGCCTTGTATTCTCCCATAGACGAAAATAGTAAGATGAGCATGACCAAAAAATTAAAACCTCACCAGAACTAGAACCGACACCATAAAAAAATTTTGGCTCTGCACATATCTGTGATCGACAAGAAAAATAAAAAATACGAGTATTGAAGAATTATTCTAGATGCGAGACCAACAGATTATGCAACAGCGTCTTTAAATTT